TTTGGGCCAGAAGAGTGAAGATAGAGGAGAATTTTATATGATACCCCAAAGCTTGTCTTATATTCTCCATTTCATTGCTATTTTTTATTAATCATCTGGAGAAACCATCTAAAATACTAGGTGTCTGATGCCTTTGCTTTTTCTGGTGCCCATGCTTACTTTGAGGTGATTAAAAGTTAATTTTTTTTTTCAGATATATGGCACTGTATTTAGTTAGTACAAACAGAAAGACTCTAAGTCATAAACACTGATAAGTAAATTCTCAGATATTTGGGTTAAGTGAGGGTAAAATGTAAAGAAGAAGTGGTTACCAGATCACCTCAATGTGTACCTTACATACGGATTCTTTTCTAATTGTAAAAAAAAAAATTAATTCTTCCTAAATCCCCAAATGGAGAAAGAGATTTATTATGGGTTATTATTTTATAACTGGTAATATCCTATTTTAATTGAAAGAATTAAGTTGCACTTTGAAAAAAGTCATTGGAATTTTGATCAGGATGGTGTTGAAGGTATAGATTGCTCTGGGTAGCATAGACATTTTAACAATGTTTATTCTTCCCATCCATGAGCATGGAATGTTTTTCCATCTTTTTGTGTCTTCTTCAATTTCTTTCATGAGTGTTCTGTAGTTCCCAGAGTATAGATCCTTTATGTCTTTGGTTAGGTTTATTCCGAGGTATCATGGTTTTTGGTGCTATTGTAAGTGGAATCGTTTCTCTAATTTCTCTTTCTACAGTTGCATTGTTAGTGTACAAGAAAGCGACTGATTTCTGTGCATTGATTTTGTATCCTGCCACATTATTGAATTGCTGTATGAGTTCTAGTAATTTGGGGGTGGAGTCTTTTGGATTTTCCACATAAAGTATCATGTCATCTGCGAAGAGAGAGAGTTTGACTTCTTTGCCAATTTGAATACCTTTTATTTCTTTTTGTTGTCTGACTGCTGTTGGTAGGACTTCTAGTACTATGTTGAACAACAGTGGTGAGAGTGGGCACCCTTGATGTGTTCCTGATCTTAAGGGAAAGGCTCTCAGCTTTTCCCCATTGAGGATGATATTCGCTGTGGGTTTTTCATAGATGGATTTTATGAACTTGAGGAATGTTCCCTCTATCCCTATACTCAAAGAATTTTAATCAGGAAAGAATGCTCTTTTGTCAAATGCTTTTTCTGCATCAATTGAGAGGACCGTATGGTTCTTCTCTCTCCTCTTATTAATGTGTTCTATCACACTGATTGATTTGCGAATGTTGAACCACCCTTGCATCCCAGGGATAAATCCCACTTGGTCATGGTGGATGATCCTTTTAATGTATTGTTGGATCCTATTAGCTAGGATTTTGTTGAGAATTTTGGAATCTGTATTCATCAGGGATATTGGTCTGAAATTCTCCTTTTTGATGGGGTCTTTGCCTGGTTTGGGGATTAAGGTAATGTTGGCCTCATAGAATGAGTCTGGAAGCTTTCCTTCTGTTTCTAATTTTTGAAACAGCTTCAGGAGAATAGGTATTATTTCTTCTTTGAATGTTTGGTAGAATTCCCCATGGAATCCATCAGGCCCTGGACTCTTGTTTTTTGGGAGGTTTTTGATCACTGCTTCAGTCTCATTACTGGTTATTGGCCTATTCAGGTTGTCAATTTCTTCCTGATTCAGTCTTGGTAGTTTATAGGTTTCCAGGAAGACATCCATTTCTTCCATGTTGCTCAATTTATTGGCATATAGTTGTTGATAATAATTTCTAATAATTGTTTCTATTTCCTTGGTGTTAGTCATGATCTCTCCCCTTTCATTCATAATTTTATTAATTTGGGTCCTCTCTTTTTTCTTTTGGATAAGTCTGGCCAGTGGTTTATCAATCTTATTAATTCTTTCAAAGACCCAGCTTCTAATTTCGTTGATCTGATCTGTATTTCTGGTTTCTAATTCATTGATCTCTTCTCTAATCTTAATTATTTCTCTTCTAATGCATGGCTTAGACATTGTTTATTGCTTTTTCTGTAGTTCTTTAAGGTGTAAAGTTAGTTGGTGAATTTGGGATTTTTCTATTTTTTTGAGTGATGCTTGGATGGCTATGTATTTCCCCCTTAGGACCACCTTTGCAGTATCCCTTAGGTTTTGGACTGATATGTTTTCATTCTCATTGGTTTCCATGAATTGTTTAAGTGCTAGAACAAACAATCCTAAAATTTGTATGGAATCAGAAAAGACCCCGAATCACCAAGGAAATGTTGAAAAAGAAAAAGCTGAGGGCATCACGCTGCCTGATTTCAAGCTAAATTACAAAGCACTGATCACTAAGACAGCATGGTACTGGCACAAAAACAGACATATAGACCAATGGAACAGAATAGAGAGCCCAGATATGGACCCTCAACTCTATGGTCAAATAGTCTTCGACAAAGCAGGAAAAAATATGCAATGGAAAAAAGACAGTCTCTTCAATAAATGGTGCTGGGAAAATTGGACAGCTATATACAGAAGAATGAAATTCGACCATTCTCTAACACCATACACAAAGATAAACTCAAAATGGATGAAAGACCTCAGTGTGAGACAGGAATCCATCAAAATCCTAGAGGAGAACATAGGCAGTAACCTCTTTGACATCAGCCACAGCAACTTCTTTCAAGGTACATCTCCAAAGGCTAGTGAAACAAAAGCAAAAATGAACTTTTGGGACTTCATCAAGATAAAAAGCTTCTGCACAGCAAAGGAAACAGTCAACAAAACAAAGAGGCAACCCACAGAATGGGAGAAGATATTTGCAAATGACACTACAGACAAAGTGCTGATTTCCAAGATCTATAAAGAGCTTCTCAAACTCAACACCCAAAAAACAAATAATCAAGTCAAAAAATGGGCAGAAGACGTGAACAGACACTTCTCTGAAGAAGTCATACAAATGGCTAACAGACACATGAAAAAATGTTCATCATCATTAGCCATCAGGGAAATTCAAATCAAAACCACATTGAGATACCACCTTACACCAGTTAGAATGGCAAAAATGGACAGGGAAAGAAACAACAAATGTTAGAGAGGTTGTGGAGAAAGGGGAACCCCCTTACACTGTTGGTGGGAATGCAAGTTGGTACAGTCACTTTGGAAAACAGTGTGGAGGTGCCTCAAAAATTAAAAATAGAGCTACCCTATGACCCAGCAATTGCACTCCTGGGTATTTACCCCAAAGACACAGATGTAGTGAAAAGAAGGGCCATATGCACCCCAATGTTCATAGCAGCAATGTCTGCAATAGCCAAACTGTGGGAAGAGCCGAGATGCCCTTAAACAGATGAATGGATAAAGAAGATGTGGTCCATATATACAATGGAATATTACTCAGCCATCAGAAAGGATGAATACCCAACTTTTACATCAACATGGATGGGACTGGAGGAGATTATGCTAAGTGAAATAAGTCAAGTAGAGAAAGTCAATTATATGGTTTCACTTACTGGTAGAACATAAGGAATAGCATGGAGGACATTAGGAGAAGGAAGAGAAAAATGAAGGTGGGGGGAATCAGAGGGAGAGACGAACTATGAGAGACTATGGACTCTGAGAAACAAACTGAGGGTTTTAGAGGGGAGGGGGTGGGGGGATGGGTTAGCCCGGTGATGGGTATTAAGGAGCGCACGTACTGCATGGAGCATTGGGTGTTATACGAAAACAATGAATCGTGGACCACTACATCAAAAACTAATGATGTATTGTATGGTGACTAACATAGCACAATAAAATTAAATTAAAAAGAAAAAATTAAGTTGCCTAAAACTTAAATAATTCAAATACTGTGATTGGTGTGGACTTAATACCATGCATAAATGTTAGGTTTCATCAGAAAATGTTTTAATCAAGTGAGAAATTGATATCTGAAAAAGAGAAGGAAATGTATTGTAAAGTTTCATTCTAGAAAAGGTAAAGAGGACTTAAAGCTAGAATTAAGTTAAAAACATTAATTCATGACCTTTAAGGAAAGTGCATTTGGCCATTTACATGGACTGGCAGTCTCTGTGTTTCTCTTAATACCACAGCCCGTAACAACTACGAGGAAGGATGACACGGAAACGGAACAGACAAAAAACAGTAACTATCAAGAGCAGATACTGGACACACATTAAGTATTGCTTTGGATAGAGAATAAAAGGTGTATTGGAAATTCTTTTCCTCTGGCCTTGGAAGTTTTATAAAAGTCTAAAACCTCTACTTGGTTGTTTGGTTGATTTTGATTCTTCTTAAAATCTAATGCAGGAATATTTTTGGTTCAAAGTCAGACAGCTATTCTAACAAATACTTAAAATAATCTGCTGTTGCCTAGCTACTCCATTATTGTAAAATAAGAGATTTTATTATGGTGTCAATGTTTTGTGTTTGGGACACACACACACACACACACACCTGAGGGAACTCAGTGAGAGGGATCAGTGATGTATTAATCCAAAATAGTTAATAGCCATGTAGTCAAGGGAGCAAGGGCGAAGAGTAGGCAGGGAAAGAAGTCAGGGATTAGTGCCTCAATACTAAATGTCAGCTCCAAAGGCAGAGGCAAGGGCAGAAACAAACAAAACAAACAAAAGAATCAGGCGCAGACTGAGGAGATCCATGCAGGATGGACAACAAATGTGTTGTAGCAGAAACTGCCTTTTGTGGCATGAGGGCAGTCTCCTGGGATAAAGCACCATGCAGTTCCATGCAATTAGAATTCTGTCCCCTGTAGCTTTGTGCATGGGGGCTCTCTACCTGTCCTTTAGACTCTAAGACTGTTCATGCTAGTATTTATATTTCTTTTCCCTAGAGTGATGACTACTCTGACTTGACTGTACTCCAGATCACTATTTACATTGTTTGTCCTCAGCTTGTTTATCTGGAGGGCAGCTGATATTTTTACATAAAGACCCAAGGGACTGCTTAACATGTGGTTCTTACACCATGTTACCTATCTCTATTTCAGCCTGGAGACAGTTGGAGACGGTGCAGCCTCACTACATGGTGTAAGAAATGGCTGTAGGAAACAACACTCAACGAAGTTATTCCATCATCCCATGTTTTATATTTGTTGAGGTATGTGTATTTTTTGCCTTTATGGACAAATTGGAATAATAGTAGTTTTGATGCTGAGAACTTGGATTATGTTGTAAAGTTATTTGACAAATTTTGATAGCATAGATACTGGTAAAGAATAAATTATGCAAAATGTTCCTTGAATGGGAAGCCATAGAATGAGAAGGTTCATCTATGGGGTACAAAATAATTGTGTTTTATTATATTTTTTATTTTCAGTGGTGACTTGAATGTATAAACTATGAATGCAGCATTTTAATTAGATCTTTTTTTAAATAAATATCATTTTTCAGGAATCAACAAATTAGTTGGTTTAGAGATGATGTTAGTTGATGGACTTTTGCCTTGCAGCCCAAATAAAGAAAAAGAAATCTTAAAATTGACTATTTCCACTGGGCATTTTTCTTTAGTGGGGTATTGAGAGCTTGTGTAACATGCAATTTCTTTTGGTCATGAATGATTTTGTTGAGTTGCTCCAAGTTTGTACCAACAAACACTTCTCCAGCATCTTCTTGGTTAAACTCCTTACACCCCTTCCCCACTGTACCTCACTCTCTATAATGTTTGCTGTAGAGGAGACAAGAGCATGGAGATTTTAGGAAGTCTAGAATGATCTGATGCAAAAAAAGAAAAAGCTAGCTACTCCAGGTTGTCTCAAAATAAGATGTCCAAGGACCAGCTATAGCATATTCTTATGGGATCTTTTTGGCTGAGTGTGGAAGGAACATGCATGTTGATCCACTTAATTACCTATGTGAAAACAGTCAACACTTGAGATAAACCACTAATTATATTAGTAAAAATGTGCTTTCAGTACCGGTGTGTTTAAACACCTCCTATGAATCAGTACAATATTTTATCTTCTACCTCTTGAAGTAAACTTAGCTATTGATATAGTCTGTTGGGTAATTTTGACTGTTCTGATTTTTGGCCAAATATGTTTGGCTGATCCTTGAGTTTCACTTTACAGAAATCCCTTGGTACTTTAGATGTACAAATATTACTTGATTTATTTTCTGGTGATATTTGTGAACCTGTTTGTATTGCAGAATTAGGTGGAAATAGGACATTAACTTGGGACAGAGATGTTAATATAAGTCAAGATACTTACAGACCCAAGCTATATTGAATCTCTGAAAGGGTAAACAAAGAACTCATCTCTCAACAGAAACATATTTCTTAATACTCTTCCTTAACTTGTTGTACCTAATACCCTTCCTTTAACTTCCTTTATTCTTGCTTCCAAGGCCAAGAATAACTCCATTCAGACAATGACTATACCTTATGTATATCATGGGTTCTAGTTACAATTGTTCATATTGAAAGTATAATGAGGGGGAAAGAGTCCTTTCTCATGTTGCTCTTGGGGAAGAGGGGAGAAGGCTGTGGCACCATGTCTGTCTTTCAATGTTAAAATCCTTTTTCTTTTGTTGTAAGAAAAATAATTTGTAAAGTAAGCTGGGCGAAATTAGAGAATAAGTCATCTGTCATTATCTTTATCTTCCTGGTAGCAATTTTATTTTAAATTTTCCTAAAAATCAAACAGGAACCAAACCTCAAAGTAAGAGGTTTAATTTATTGCTGGAAGGTATATCGCCGACGATTTTCAGTCCTCTAATGTATGAACGATGAGCTGACTGGTAGAGCAAGCAGAAAGAGACATAAATCAGTCTTTCTCTGCCTTAACCTGGCACAAACATAAATATAAATCTAAAAATCTGGGAGAGGAAAGATAGTTTATTCTTTTTCTTGTTGTATTGTCATTCTTATTTTGCATGGAAGCTTAAGGTACATCAGGTGTACAATTTAATGATTCAACACTTACAACACCTGGTGCTCATCACAAGTGCACTCCCTAATATTGCACTGTCTGTTAACTAACTGGAATTTAAATTAAAACATTAAAGAAAAAAAGGTACATCAGTGACTTCTCTCAGAAACAGGCAAGAGAAGGAAAAAGAGGAAGTACAGTAAAATAAACTAGAAATTGAGAGGGGAGGAGGTATATTTCAAGGTGGCTTTCATGATTCTGCTGTATTTCATCTGTCAAACACTGCAGTATTCATTGCAGCATTGTTTACAACAGCCAGGATATGGTAACAACTCAAGTGTCCATTCATGGATGAATGGATAGAGAAATTGTGGAGTGGACACACAATGGAATATTATTCAGTCATAAGGAATGAAATCTTGCAATATATGACCATATGGACAGAATTTAAGGGCATTATGCTAAGTGAAATAAGTCAGAGAAGACAAATACTGTACAATCTCTCTTATATGTGGAATTAAAGGAAAAAAAACCACCTAAGTTCATAGATACAGAGAACAGATTATTGGTTGGCGGGGGTGGGAATAATAGGTGAAGGGGGTCAAACGGTAAAAAAAAAAAGAGAGAGAGAAAAAAATGGGTGGGGAAGGGCAGAGGGAAAGGGAGAGAGAGAATCCAAAGCAGGCTCCACACCCAGTGGGGAGCCTGAGGCTGGGCTTGATCTCACCATGCTGAGATAATGACCTGAGCCGAAATCAAGAGTCGGACACCTAACTGAGCCACCCAGGCACCCCCAAACTTTTTTAATTAAGAAAGAAATTTTTAAATATTTCTTCTGAGATTGGGCAACAAAACTTTGAGTAAGATCCAGTTGGGGATGGAGGAACAAAACAAAACAAAAACACTTACTGTTTACCTATATTATGCCAGGTATTATAACAAGGATATCCAAAAACTTGGTCAAAAATAACTTGGTTAAAATATCAATTTGATCAATGAATATCTTTTTACTATTGCTTCTTAATTATGAAATAATTCAAACAGAGAAAATATAACAGACACCTCTGCACCCACCATCAAAACCAAATCTTAAAATTTTGCCATAGATGCTTCAAATATTTTTTCAAGGAAAATAAAATATTACAAATATGGTGGAAGCCCTCCTGTCCTGGACCTGGAAGGATCTGTGTCTGTGAAGTTGGAGGCTTTATTCCCCTGCATGATTCTCATTCATATTTTCATATTCTTCCTACATGTCCACATATTCATAATTAATATCTTAGATTTTACATAAATGATACCATATTGAACTTTTCTTTTGCAGTTTGCCTTTTCATTCAGCATTATGTTTCTGAAATTTACCCAGATTGGCAATCCATTCCTTTTAAATTGTTGCATTTTATCTCATTGTGTGAATACACCAGTGAGGGACAGTTTGCCTGATTTTTTGTTTTCTTAACACTTATTTTACTCTTGCAACTTTCTTTTGCAGAAAATGTCCTTTTTTCAGTCTCCATGTCCACGTGTGCAAGAGCTTCCCTTGGATTGACACCTAGCAGTGGAATTGCTGGGGCATGATTACATTTTCCAGTTGTTGGCTTCAGTATAAGAACAATTTTGGCACTTTCATATCTGTTTCCTTGATGAAACTTTGTTAAACTCTTTGTTTTAGGAGTGTATCTGTATATTTCTTAGATTTTTTTTCAGATAGTTCTATCATCTGTAATTAATAGATTTATTTCTTCTTTTCTGATTATTATGACTTATAAGTAAAATCATATGGTATTTGTCTTTCTCTGACTCCTATTCTTTTAAAGCTTACTCTTCTTTTAAATATATAAACATAACAAACAATAAGATTAACCAATAGCTCTTTGCTTCTCTTAAACTATGATGTTCTTAAGTCACTTCGAGATCTTGGGTGTCATTCTTGATTTTTATATCTTCCTTAATTTTTTTTCACTAATCTTTCAGTCCTGGCTCCTTTGAATTTACCCACATATTCATTTTCTTTGCTCACCATTCCTCCTTTTATTCCTCTCCTTCCTTCTGGGTTTAATTTCCTCATGGAACTTTCAGCATGGGTCTAGTGAATTGTAAACATCTGTAGTATTTATCTGAAATTGTCTTTATATTATAATTAATCTGGAAAGGTGAATTCTGGATTGAATAGTTTGTTCTCCACCCTCAGAACTTCCGTAGTGTTAATCCATTTCCCTCTGTGAAGACTCTTCTCTTATTACTGTTCTTGATACGTCATCCACATTTCTCTCCAGTGACTTTGACATTTTTCTCTTTCCTTTGGTGGTCTGTAATTTTGGATATGTCTAGGTGTGAACTTTATACTGCCTAGGACTTATTTTGTCTTGTGTATGAAAAGTCGTGTTTGTACCAATTCTGTAAAAATCTCAGGCATCACATCTGCAAATATCCTCGCTCCTCCATCCTCTCTGTTCTCTTTCTCTATTCAATATGTTGGATCTTCTTTCTGTATTCCATGTCTCTTAACCCATCTTGTTTTTTAACTTCTAGAAGTTCTGTGTGCAGAAATCTGCCTATTTTTATAGTGTCCCCCTGCTTACCATTTTTATATTCTTTCAGATTTTTCTGTTTTCTGAAATTACTGGTATTCTAATCCTCCTGTATGTTGTATCTGCCATCTCTAGTTCGTGGTGGATTGTTTCCTTATTTATTTTTGTGATTTTTTTTTTTAGCTCATTGTTTAGCAGAACCTGCTTCTTCTGTAGGATTCATGTGGGCTTTAGATTTTAAGAGTATCTCTTGGGAGGGGTTTTGCATGTCTGTTTCTCTTGGGTTTAGGTTTCTCTATTCAGAACCCAAACCTAACAATACCAAAGTATAATTAGCCAAAGTTCACCTTCCTTGTAGTCTTCCTATGCCAGTAGGTGGATTTATAAAGAACATTCTTTCCCTGAGTGAAAAGCAAGGTTCAGGAATGCCAGCTTTTACACTCCAGTCCTCACACCCAGTCCCCATGGACATGAAAGCCCAAACCTTGTCACTGAGTCGGACATGTACCCCTTTCTCTATTCCCATCCAGGTCCACTGTATCATCAGTTTTTTGGGTTACCACTCTTGTTTTCAGGACCCTTTTTGATTCAGCTCATTTATGAATGAAAATGAGAAAAATACAGGCAAGCTCTTGCTTGTAGATGTTCTCAGTGGAATGTTTTCTTGTTCTTTGTTCCATGAATGTGTACATTCATTA